GCTGCAGCATCTGGCCAAAATGTCTGCCGTTGGTCATAGCTCCGCAGCAACCTCAACTTGGGCTGCAAATAGACGTCTCTAGCCACCAGGTCCATCCACTCCCGGACCACAGCGCTTCCCACCCCCTGCTCACCACGGAAGCGCACTTCGAACTCACCGCAGATGTCCACACTCCCCAGCCCGGTCTTCTCCATCACCTGCGGTGCTGAGATTGGCAACTGAAGAGAGCAAAGAAAAGAAGGGCAAGCCGGGCTAGCTCGCGTCGCCTGGTGCCGGAGAGCTGCGAGCTGTTTCTCCGCCGCCAGCCATCGGTCGCTCTCAACGAAGGCCTCGCAGCGAGGAAGGCACTGGAAACCAGACCAAGCACTGCAAAAGAAGAGAAAAATCGAAAATCATCTTTGGCCAGAAACTAAGGAAATATCCGCTGACTTGCTCTCCGAGGTCCCGGCCAGCGGTGTCTCTGCGAGGTCTGCATCCGAGGCCTGCTGGGCACGATGATGACGTACCTGATCTAGGGCAGGGTTCCAAGGCTAGGCCTAGGCACTTTCGCTTCGCCGAGAGGCCAGCTCTTGGCACTGCGTGGGGCCAGCAGTAAATTCGCTTTTGCGACTGAATATGAGGTACAGTAACGCGCCCCGAGGTCCCACAAGAGTCACAGGGGTGTTTTCGGGTGGAGCCTTCGATCTGCTTTCTTCACCTGTCGTACTGTCGCCAAGTTGCCAGCCGGCGCGTCAGCCACACACGCTTTTCCGGCACGCTCATTCGCTGAAGCAGCTTCTCTAGATCATCGGAAGGCTCGCCATGTGCCGAGAGAGCTTCCAATAGACTCCAAGCCTGACGTAAGATCACAGATCGGGAACAACAGCTTCGTCGTGCGGAGTCGCGAGAGTCTCTCAAGGTTCGAAATCAGAGGACTGGGCCCGCGCCTGGGCGATATCTGCGATGCGTCCACCTGCAAGCGGCCAGGGAGGTGGCGAACGAGAGCTGGCAGAGGTCAAGACCGACCTGGCAGCACTGGCAGCATAGGAAAGAAGGGGTGCTCAGAATCGCACGTTTTCGCACCTTGCCTGACGATGATCACCTCCGAGTCCCGCGACCGTGTGCCCAGGCTCGCTCCATCCTTCCCGCTGATCATGAAGGCGGGAATAGAAGGCAGCTTTTCCCCGAAGAGTCCCATCCGGAAGGGCTCCATCGCATCAAGGTCGTTGAAGACGATGACTGCAGAAGCACCTGCCTGCTCAGCAGAGGATACGGCCTGCGCCCAATTGTGAACCTTCTGACTGGAACGGATCGATCGCCTGGACATGAGCACGACCTTGCCTTTCATCCGGCCATCGTGAAGGTATTCAGCAGAGCCCACGGGGAAGCCATCTAGCTCATGGAAAAGGAGCAATCGCTGGGAAGAAACTGTCTGCCATCCTGGTGGTGAACCGTGGACATCTTCGTCCGAGGTCTGATTTCCCTGCTTCGGATCCATCTCCACCAGGACATTTCGGTTCCATGCCGCTGGAACAGCTGCAAAGCTGTAGTTTCTTCCCTCCTCTGTCTGCGGCTCGAGCGAATGGACCGTTGCCTGCTCCGCCAGGAGGCTGGCCTTCAATTCAAAATTCGCGAGGGTCACGAGCTCCGGCGCATGCTCCCTGTCTGTGGGGCAAGCCTCAGCATGGAACAAAGCAACCTTTCCACAATCATGGAAAGATGGGAACAACACCGACAAGAAGCATTCTGTTCTGGTGACAGGGGGCCAGCTCCTGAAAAAGCTCGTGGTGAAACTCTGCCCAGGATGGCACCAGATCATCTTCATGGCCAAGAAGGTTCTGGGCAAAACCAGCATCGCCATCGCCCAGCATCTCTGGTGCCTGGGCCTGAGCTGCCTGGGCCTGGGCAGCTCCGTCAGTTCCCTGGGATCCACCAGAAAAATCCTCCGCCTCTTCTGACACGTCTTGCATGTCCTGCGACGAAGCGCTGGATGAAGAGGCCATGTGGATATCACCGTCCTGCTCGTTGGGCAGAGCATCGCTGGCCAAAGCATGGGCTAAAGACCGTGTGGCACATCGAATACCGGCTCTTGCCACGGGGCACTTTGCTTCGAAGAGGCAGTGCAGCAAATCAAGCGCTGCCGTGTTCGTGCAAGCTGCGAGAGACAGTTTACTGAGCAAAGGAACGCCCAGCCACATGCCATTTAGTAGTCTTGTTTGCCCGTCACCATCTGGATCAGCCTTTGCCAGTGTCTTGAGAGCCCGGCAGGCATAGACTGTGAATAGGGCATCGCCTTCAATAAAAAGGAATAAATAACCCAATGAATTCATGAGCCACTCTCCGAGCCTTTGGGGTGGAGGTGGCGGTGGATCGGGGATCCACCGGAACAAAGTCGGAATCCCGGCGGAGGAAGCGGCATTTAGGATACTGGCAAGATTCGGATCGTTCCCCAGGAGCCTCGAGATCTCAGCACCTGGACCCCGGCTGAAGCTCGAAGATGCGGAAGCTACCTCTGGAAAAGACAAGGAGGGATCTTGGTTCTGATGGTCCTGGTTCTCACTTGCTGCTGCCACGGCCGCCGCCGCAAAGCGCATCTGCTGTCTCCAGGCTCTCAAGGGTTGTCTGCTCATCTGCGCAGCTCTCCACCATGGGACGTTGCTCGCCCTTGCGACTTCCCAGGTTTCCTCCGAAGCTTCGGGCTCCTGCGGCTCCTCGGCTTCCTCGAACTCGTCGCCAAACTCCTCAGCAAAAAGATGCGGTGCAATGAAGAAGTCAACTCTTGCCTGGGTCTTCATCGCTCTGGCCGCCACTCCGGGCATCTGAAGCAGAGCCACGAGGCCAAGTGGGGTGGAATGATAATCTCGAACCGACAAGGTGAGCCACTGGCACAGCTGAACTGTGTCAGGCCAATGCTCGCACTCAAATTGGATCAAAGCCATGGGCCTTCCCTCTCTCTCAAAGAGTCGCTCTAAGTAACAGGCAGCAGCCTTCCAAGGGACAGCGCAGCTGCATCCGCAGACCTCCTCCACCTCCCGCTCCGGCTCTGGCCTTGCATCCACCAGCCAGCGCAAAAGCCCTCCCAATAGCTGTCGAACGGCCATTCTTCGAAGTCCCTCCTCCGCCTCAGGACATGTGGCAAGGATGATCAGGGCGCTGGCGGCGTGCTTGGCAAGACCATGGTGGATCTGCCAGCCGATTCTCACGGCCAGGCTGAGTCCCTCAAGGATCTTCTTGGCATTCCGCAGCTTTCTCGAAAAGGATTTCGGTGCACCAGACACCAGCTGTGCGCAAGCGTGGACGATCTGCTCGTAAGCATCGCAGAGCCTCGGGGAGTCGAAGAGCACTGAGACGTTCACATGCAGAGTCTGTGCCAACAAAGAGATCTGTGCATCCAGCACCTCTGCATTGCTATCAACGAAAGCGTCTGTGGTCCTCTGCGGGTCCTCCAGAGTCTGAAACAAGTTTTCAAGGCCAAGCCTTGCTGCAAAGACTAACTCTTTGAATTGCTGTAAGATGTTCGGTGCCGGTGCCACTTCTGAGAGTTGCCTCAAAAGCTCCGGGTGATTTGGCTCAAGGGCCAAACCAGCCTGAAAGCTCACGGCCGCATCGGCTGCTCTGCCCAAGGCGAGTTCAGCCTTACCCTTCTGTAGCCAGCCCTCCAGGCACTTGCTGTCCAAAGAAACGCAGGTCTCTGCATCGTCCAAAGCTTCAAGATGCCTTCTGCACTCGTTTTGGGCCTGTGCCCGGGCGAGATGCAGCAGTGCATCCGGAGGATTCAGCAACACGGCTTCACCGAGCAGAGCGAGAGCTTCATCCGGGCTCCTTGCGGACCGAGCTTTCTCTGCCAAACTTTCCGACTCACTGGCGGCTTGAAGTGAAGGAGGGTTTCCTGCACATGCAGTGATGTTTTCTCATGGATGCGCACAGCTTGAAGAGACTCTATAGCATTGAAAACGTCGACACCTTCTAGGACAACCCTGACACCTGGGTAGAGCGGGATCATCAGCAGGTGCCCATAATCGGGCGGACGCCGAGAGAGGCGCCCCCGCCGCACGAAGCGCAGAATCAGTGCTCCCAGGCGGCCGAGCGATTTCGCCCAGCAGCCCACTTTGCGGCAGAACCACAAGGCGGAGAGGGTAGTGCTGAGGCCCACCAATCTGGACAGGATCACTTGGGGCTCCCGAAACCAGGGCATGGCATCATGGGGAGGAAGAAACCCCTCACACTCGATGAATCTGATAGTGTCTGACACAACTTTCGCACCTCAAAAACCCAAGCAGAACACAAGACTGGCTGGCGACATCTGTAAAAGCTGACAAGTCTGAGGCAATTTGCCTGTGGTGGAACGACAAGTGGCAGCAGGCGCGCACCACGTGTTTTGCAATTTTTCATAATCTGCAGTTCCTGCCTACATCACAGAAGGCAGCAAACGCGAATTTATTTCACAGGTCGGCATTTGCAAAGAGTCACCAGCGTTCACCCTGGCCTTTCTGAGGCGGGATCTTCAGCATCTAGATCGGATCTGAAGCAATTCAGCGTAGCTTGGAGCTTTGCTAGACGGGACATGAAAAAGACAGGCGCTCTCCTTCCGGAAGCCGAGCACTAATGAAACGCTGAGGTCTCCACCATGACTGGAGATGCACACCTGCAGGTGCGAGACTGCGAAGAAGGATGATGTAATGTGGCAACGCAGTCGTCCAAATTCTGGATAGCATTGGCGCACGAAGCTGCGAGTACTGGTAGCAAGCTTGACATAACAACCTGATCTGCAGCGGATTCTCTGCGGATTCCGAGGAGTATGCCTTCGATCTCAGCCTCACCCATCCCAGCGGAGCAAACGCGGCCTCAGCGGATTTCAAGCGAGCTGGGTGTTTGCCCCGCAAATGCTACAAACCAGAATCCAGAGTTATGAGTCTTGCTGCCGGTCACAGATGTCTATGGGGCAGACGCTCACCAAAGTAAACAAAGCTGTATAAGGTCCGACAGATTTCTATGGGGCAGACGCTCACCAAAGTAAAGAAAGCTGTATAAGGTCCGGTCGGCACACAAATGTGAATCCCTGCGTAGCTGCGAACTCCATTGCGTGTCTGGGCAGAAGGCATCACGCGCAGCCTGTAAGCACTACTGGAGGACATCCCGGCCCTCTGACCGTTGTCATGCGACTTGCCGGCATTTCGTTCGGCAACAATGCTACTGTCTCGGTACGCGTAAGGTTTGCCTGTGCCGTGGGCGATCATCCTGTACACATCCGCGGGCAAATAAGCACGGGAGTCAAGGCTCGGCGGACAGTCAACACATGAAAACTCGGCACGTGGATGCAGGATGCTATCTTCGGCCAGCATAAGCCTGCGGCCCCTTGTGGTCAAGGATGCACCTGCAAACAAACATCGAAAGCTCCAGAAGTGAGTTCAATCAGAGTTCAATCAAGTACAGCATGCGACTTCGGGCCACAGAAGCAAGGGATTGGAGCCTGCTGAATCCTGCACTGTGCTGGCAAGGCACCTAGGATCTCGGGTGGCTCGCAGCAGCTCGGCTACGGAATTGAAAAATGGCCAAGGGTGCGGCAAGTTCGAAGATGTGCTCGCAGTACCCGCTCTAGAGCTTTCCCATCGCCGAGACGCCCCAGTCTTACTGGGACTACGCACGACATGAAAGTCTGTGTGAGCGGCACAGGCTGATCGAGGCGGTGGAGACAGGTGAGTGTTGTTGCTGCTGTTGGTCAGAACAAGAGATGGCTGAAAGGATCACACCACGACTCTTGCCACAAATATGCCCAATGAACTACCACGCTGTAGACCTGCAGCAACTGCATCTTCGAGACAGATCAAAGTACCTCCGTATGTCGTGACAATGAATGCGCGGAGTCTTGCCACACATGCACGTTGTAACCGCCCCGTTGTAATTGTGGAACATACTTCGGCATCTCTGATTTCGCCAATGCTTAGTGAAGCAGTGCGCAAGCCTCCAACCTTGTGCCATGCATATCGTCACAGCACACGCAAACCCACTGGCATCCAAACCGAATGTGTCAGCGATTCGCCTCTTCGACTGTGGCAGTCTCTGTGGTTGCATCGGCTTTCAGTATCCCTGCGTGGGAACCTTCTCCATCAGGGCAATTTGCAGCAGAGATCCGAACCCAAGAACGAAAGGGTGTAGATTTCACTCCAGGGTCTTCGCACTCCCACACTTTTCTGACAAACCTTCCGGATTGCCGCGGGCGCATTTATGGCCATTGCTGTGCTTCATGGTTTCACCATTCACACTCGGACAAGACCCAGTGAAACAACTGTCAGGCATGCAATCATGAAGGTACTATAGACTATATCTTCCTGCACACCCCTTCCATTGGCATGCGGCACATCTGTAAGTGCACGATCGCATGCCTGCATGCACAACTGCACACTGACGTAGACGTATAGGCCATGTATCTGTACCGGGGGGGCCGCTGCGACAATGTCTCCGCGTGGGCTCCCACTTCGAATGCCCTCGGTGTCAGGGTTCTACAGGGAAACGCGATCCACGGAAAGCAACAAATTTCGGGTCTCCACCAACTTGGCTTCTGTCCCCTTCGGCACGGGCAACACGGCATCACTCAGGAATTCCTCTGCCTGACCCGCGCAGGCGTGCCACGCTCTTGACAGGAGCGCCAGCAAGCACGGCAAGCCAATGAGCGCAAAGAAGCCACCGACGAGCGTTATGATGACCGAGAGGAGAGCAAAGATCCTAAAGGCTTGTGCTGAGCCAAACCCGAGCATAGCCACGCCAAGGAAGGCTGTCAAACATCCCTGAAGCACGTCAAAGCTGCAGGATTCTAGTGAGAGCCGCATACGTTGGTCCCAAGGTGTCCCCGGCGACACACCGTGGTCGGCAAAGTGCACAACGTGGCAGCTGTAGTCGACGCAAAATCCGATCGTCATGACACAAACTGTAAATGAAATGAGGTTGCTGGTGATACCGCAAACCCACATAAATCCGAACAGAACTGATGTCACAGCCATTATGTTAGCCAGTGCCAGCATGGCAAGGTGAACAGGCATCGTGATCAGTACTGCAAGGAACACCCCAACGAAGGCAAAACCGGCCGTGCTGAAAGTCTTATCCTTGATGATCCGGTAGCGAGCTGTCTGCGTCGGGAAGCTCAAGTGATATGGGATGACCTCCAGCTCCGGAAAGCCCTCCTTTACTTGGCTGATAATGTCCGACGCTTGCTCACTGCGCTTTTTAGCATCCGTCGGCTGCCACAGAAAGGCCCGACACCTCGCCGCTCGCAAATGCTCTGTGACACCACCCCTGGCATCCCGGCCACTCACATCTGACTGGTTCAAGTACATGAGGATGGCAGTGTCCACCTCGCACATGGACGCGGAACTGCTCAAGGAGCCGACTGCGCGCTGGAGCCAACAATCCACGGGCAAGACTAGATCCGACCTGTTATTCAGTGCTGCTATCAACTCCGACAGGCGACTCCGATATGATGCGTCAAGAGTTCTCGGTGAGTCCAAGACAAGACCAAGCTCAATGGGAAGACTTCCGACAAAGGAGCTTTCGACATCCTCGAAATATGCGTTCACACGGGAGGAGTCGGTCACTAAATCCGTGTCCGGCATACCCCGTTCCACCTGGAGCCCGAAGCAGATGCCAAGTAGAGTCAGTGCAATCCATGCTGAGGCTCCAAAGATTTGGAAAGACAGGCTGCGCTGGACGGCATAGCCGAGCTTCGCAGTCATGATACCCCGAAGTCTGCGTCCGCCTCCCATGGCCAATCTCGCCTTTGCAGCAAAGCCACTCTTCGGCTCCTCACGGACGGTCATGTTGCGTTGGCTCAGTGTGATCATCGCCGGGAACATGATCACCATGCCTAGCGGGGTATCTGCAAAATCAATTCTAATCATACTGATTTTCAACATCACCAGCGTCATCCTCATCATCATCGCCATCATCATCGACATCATGGGTATTCGCTCTGTAGCCTGCCTATCCAGTTCATGATGAGAACCAGAACCAGGCCAATGTTGAACCAGAAGAAGCTGGGAAGATCCGCGCTTGTGGCAGCCGCGATGGAGAAGGCGCAAACTGATGTCAAGGTCGTGGTCGTTGCTGCTCTGCCCCCACGGGGGAGGGCTTTCACCATGACCTCTTCCATGTTCTTCACGTCCGGCCCCACGGCGTTCACTGAAGACACCATCAAGAAAATAACGTCAACGCCCACCGCCAGACCCAAGAAGGGCACCATAGTGCCCAAGACACTCACTCCATGCCCCAAGTATCCTAAAAGGCCGAAGCTAGCCAAACCGGACAACCCTGGAATGCAAGTCCCTCCCAAGAGGACTTTGACCTGAGAGTTCCCTGGGATTCTCGTGTCAGTGCCAAGCATGACGACAAGGTAGCCTGCCATGATGGAAATGGTGATTCCAATGAGTGGGACGTTGTCCATACCGATCAGCAGACTCTCCGTTGCGATAGTCGAGGAGCTAAACTGATTGATTCTAACGATCGCATTCTCGGGGTAGCCGTTTTGGTTGATGTCCTTTGCAACCTGCTTCTCGGGGGTGTGGAGGCTGAGGTGTCAGGTTGAGGGTTCAAGTTGAGGGCAGGGGCTGTTTAGTGTCGGCCGCCAGCCTGCTTCTCGAAGCGAACGCCATCATCGGTGTCCAACAGTGTGAAAGTTGACATGGCAGCAGTGCCTTCAAGCAGCCATTCACTGAGAGAAGCCTCGCTGGCATCAGGGCCAGGGAAAGGTCGCGACGAAGCAATGAGAAGCGGCAAGCTTGAACGTTGCTGCACGCTCATCCCAGCCACAAGCAACGCCGCTGCCACATGGGCAGGTGTGCTCCTGTCCAGCTCCAGTGCTTCGAGCTCAGACAGACGGGCTGCGACATCTTTCCCGAGAAGTGTGGCAGTAGCGCTGCTTACCATGCATGGCGAACCCGAATTGAACCTTTCGCAAACGTCACGGAAACCCAGCTGATGCCCCTGGACCGATTCAAACCGGGTTACTTCCTCTATCTGCACCTCTGCTTTGTGTATCTGTCGCATCACATCAGAAGATACTAGCCGACGTCCATTCAGTGGCTTGGCGATGAAGACAAGGCTTCTCGTGTCCGGGAAGACATCTGTCCCACGCTTGTAGTCTCTGTACTCGTCGGTCGTCTTGAAAGTAAACGTGTCCAAGAAGCCCGTCTTGATTCTGAGGATGCCAAACATGCTTTCTGAACCCGGCAGTAGCAGCATTCCCGGGACACATGCCAGATATGCCGTCAGCGATACTGCGATGGCAAGAACAGGGTATCTTGTGATCCATCGGGCGAGGCACCTGAAGAAGCTCTCTTGAGCATGGCCGACAAGATCGGATGATGCAGAAAGGCGTCGCTCGAGTCGCAGCCCTCGGCTCGGGTGGCCTGGGGCTGGTTGTGTGGCCATGGCTGGAGCTTCTTAGACAACACCTGCGGTGTTGGGAATCGTGCTGTGAACGTAGATGTCGGGCGCATACCTTTCCCAGCCCTGAACGACGTCACTGACCGAGCCATGTCAAACTGCTTTTGTAGACTTATGCAGCCGTGGTTCGGGGAAATAATTAGCGTTTTCTCTGCACAGAGATCTACATGGGAGTGGAAATTGTTGGGCGACGTAGCGTTTGATCGTACCTCGATCTTGCATTCATGATTACTAGTTTTACATGACGAAAGAAAAATCTACTCAAGACACAAACAAACAAAACTTCAAGAACTACATGAATGAATATTACAAAAATCAATATTACATATCTTTATATAAGTATATGAATATAAGACTATATGAATATATGAATGTGCATCAATATATGCACATAATCTGCAACACAAATCCTGATGAGCCACAAGCTTTTGAGATTTCAGAACGGCATTTCTGTCAACTGCGTGCTGGCCAATGAAGCTAATGCTCCGAAATCTGTGTTGCTCTGCAGTTGCTTTGGATATCCGTCAAATCGTCACATCTTGCATGATTTTAGATGTTCGGCCGGTAATGAGAACTCACAGCAGCCCCAGTATAAATCAAGTCATGAGTAGAAAAACATCAGCATTCATTCTCTACAAATTGAAAATGAAAGCCTGCATGCACCAAAAATGCGAGGCACAGTGCTTAAATGGAAGGATCCAGCCATCTTGCGAGTGGGTTGGCAGCTGAGCCTTTGAGGAGGGTGCTCGAAGGAGCATCGAATGCATGCACTGCTGGATCCTCTGCAACCCCCCAGCATCCGAAAGCACAGCTCGACTCAAGCTCAAAGCACTGGGCTGAGGGTTTTCGGTCCTTTGCACCAGTTGCAACGTTGCCAGATATCACCAAAAGGCTTTGTGAACCTATTCATGTTGCGGACGAAGGTCAGTGGGACATCGGGCTGTCATTTCGAAATCAGCCACATGTGGCAACACCGACAGATCACTTGAGACGGCTTGGACTCAGACGGTCGTGCGCGGCAACGAGCAGGAGAACGCGGGGATAGAGACCATCAATCCATCAAGACAACACCGGGGCGGGTGAATAAGGGCCTGGCCCCTTTTCTAGAGCCGGCCTCTGATGTTATAGTGGCCAAGTAGATCCCAGCAGAAGTTGTGCGACTTCACGTACCTGTTTCCACATGCACCATATCTTATCTTGAGGCTCCTTTGGCGCGGCTTAGAGGAAGAAGACGTTTGCGCTTCGACAATTTGCGGAAGTACCTTTGGACTTCAAGCCTGCAATCTTCAATCTTCAGCTCTACAGGCATGGCCTGCGCCTTCACCTTTGAAAACTCAGTGCTTCAAGCCCGATGGACCTCTTGGACCTCCAATGTGCCCCCCATAAAGCCGCTGTGGGGAGGCGTGGCTGGGCCGTACAGACCATCCCTCAATCGAAGTGGTATGATCCCTCATCCAGAGCAACCACCTTGCAGCCAAGTAGCCGGAAGGAAAGCCGAAATTTGAGACATCATCAACCTGTGCCCCGTTGGCCATGAATGTGGATCTGCCTCGAGTTACCTACCACTGCATCATGCAAACAAGTTACTCAGAGTTGAAATTGTCCGAAGCGGCGCAGGCGCTGACGGGATTTCTCAGCCTCAAAGAGCTTCCACATCTTAAGTGGCGAATGATGCGAATAATTGTGTTGCCTTTTTGCTGAGCCACTCTGACAGATGGCCCTCCTCGAACCTCTCCTTGCCTGCATTACTGGGCCTGAGCGCAAGAGCAGGAGCTGTGCGAGCCCTCGGAAAGTATTCAGCCCACGTGGACCACCGCAAGTGCCTTTCAGCGGTCGTTCAGCCAAAATCCACACAAACCAAACTCAAGCAAAGGCACTCAGAGCGTGATGGGAGTCAGAGAAACTGCGCACGGACTGAAGCCAAGGCACCACTCAAGATCAACTCAGTCACCAAGATCAAGGCCGAACCAGGACATCACGGCGGGCACAGGGACATCATTCGGGAGCCAGCTCGTCGAAATGTCTGGAAACGGCAAAGGCACAACAGAAGCCTGCGCTTCGGCTTGCTCATGGCTCTCAAAAGGCAGATGCCTATGCCGACATTGACTATAAAGGCGTGTCTACAAAAGGGGGACCCGTAATCTAGAATCTACACTTTATTTAACTTTAAGAGACACCCTGACAATGCCGTAAGTACAGAGACCCCCAAAATAGTAGAAACACCCATATGCGACTGCACTTGCAGGCAGCAGACTGACACGCTCAACACGAGAGACATGACATCAATCTGAAGGAAGTCTCTCTCGCGCACGGTAGGACAATCACGAGGAGAGGATGATACAAGAGTGACTATGAAAAGAAAACAAGTGTAGCAACCACGCATCACAATGCTTGCCAAGTGTGGCACACTCAGTACTGCAACACAACTTCTGTCGAGAATGCTCATCGTTCTGACCTTGTAAGTCGTCATAACCTGTGAGTAAAAATCCTCCGTATCGTTTATGCTGACCACCATGATCGCAAAAGCACATCTACGCCTGCCTGTTAATGAATTGCCCGTGTTTGCATTCGAGTGGGTCGTCCAATGTTTAATCTTTGCCGAGAGTTCAGCCGCGACCTGTTTCCAACGTTCTCATGCGCAGTCTCCTGTACATATTCGAGACATAGCAGCATCAATGCTGGTCAGCATCCACCGGAGGCCTGACAGTTTTGTCCTGGCCCGAAGATGGATTCCGAAACTCTTGGATTCTAGATCAGGCCGCCAGCTTGGACTTGGTGCCGTCCAGCGGCATTACATTACACAACCTGAGTCACTGAGGGGAAGCCCTCACAGGTAGGGGTTTCGTCGGAAGCTGAAGTCAAGGGGCATCTCTCTGATCGGGATCGGCTCGGGGTTCGCTCCGGGTTGAAGTTATTCCACACGTCTTCGAAGTATCCGACTTCCTGAGACAATGCATTGCGCAGTGTGTCTGTCTGTGTGTGTGTGTGTGTGTGCAGGATGGTGGGATGCTTGAGAGACGAGCACGCCGAGCTTCTGGAAATCCAGTTCGCCCAGCAGATAAGATCCGAGCCTGTCGATGTCTCTTGCGAAGCAGCGTTCTATCCGGCAGAGTACTTTCTGGATTTCTGAGTAACCAAGGACCGAACCGTCTGCAGAGACACGGCTGTCCCCAGTTGGCGTAGTGCACCCATGGCCTCGGAAATTGCCTGAGTTGACTGGAAGCACAAGATCGACAATGCCACGACAAGTTCATGGAGACCTGCGCTGAGAGATTCATAGATGTGGGCTGAAATGAATGCATGGCAAAAGGCAATCGCTTGTGGAAGCAAATGCCTGACAAACTCCAGATCGAGATGATGCAATCAAATCATTCGCAAGTATGGATTGTGCGAATTGGGTAACATTCAGGGCATGCTGTCGCTTGACCGAGCCTCAAATCGAGCAGGCGCACCACGTCCGTAGGTTGTTGAGGCAACTTTGGAACATTTGTAGATGCCTGTCAGCGCAAACATGGATCCTGAGTGGACTTGGCATGGCCCAGCGTCAAGACGAGCCGCGGCATCGGCAGGGCCGGCAGGGAAGCCTGCCCGAACGGCCTGTGATTCCAGCATCGTCAGGCCCAATGCCGACTCCAAGGCACCGACCTTGGAAAAGCTCACGCCTGGGGTCCCCGAAAAAACATCCCCACGGAGGAATAGGCCTGGCTTCTCACGTAGAGGGCGACCAAGAAGCAAAAGGCAAGTGTGATACTAAAGCCCAGTTAGGTCAAGGCCGGCGAACGTGTTTCAAGAGCCCAGACCGGTCAATTCGGCATAGTTGCTTTTGTGAAAAAAGATGCTGCATAGCATGAAGCACTGGCTTAGACTTTAAATCCCATGTGGGTGTCATTTCTGAGTACGGGCAGAGATTGACAGTCAGACACGCTGGACTTTCGACAGGCTTGTGCACATGTGCTGGATGGCACGGTTTCCTGGAGTGCCTCCTCTGTGTAGCTACTTCTTCAGCTTGGCTGTCAGAATGCTCGTCGCTGCCGAGGCCGTGGAGATTTGTGAGAACGCAACAAAAACTCGGGCCAAGTGACAATACCCTCCAGCTCTGGCACCCAGGTTTGCAAGCGACTACGCCGCCAGCTTTCCGAAGGCCAGTGGTACTTCAAGACATAGCAGTTCTGCAAGCATCTTCTCGCCTGATCTCCCACAAGTTCCACAAGGCCCAAAGCTTCAGAAGAACGGCAGCGAAGCAGACTTGGGCTCCTGGATGCAGGCGAGCAAGCCCTCCCAGGCTGCTTGTCCTTCCGTAGCGGCTGGGGCTACTCTTTAGCGGAAGTGCTTTCCTGCGGTTTGCTGCTTGGCTTTCAGACTATACTCTTAAGTGGCAAGCCAAGCTGCGGCAACCGCGTGACTCTCGCGACACCGCCGACACGAAGGAGTCCTGAAACCCCAGCGGCCATATCAAGGTTGAGTCTGGCGTTGCGGATTCTGGCTGGCAGCATACGGCAACTCATGATGTAAGCAGATAGATAGTAACATTCCTTTAGCTGAGGCTCGGCATCATTTCCGGAGCGAGGCTCCTGAATGCTGATGCCCAGATCAAACTCCTGGCACACCGGCAACATTTCATGCATCTGGCAGGCACCGCTGGGCAGCTGGGCAGCTGCACGCTTCCGCCTCTGCCAGTACCAGAAGTGCTCGGAAAAGAAGCTTCCTTGGAACATCGAGCCGAGCCCACTGCCAGAGCTCAGCGACGACTAGACAGGCTGACCTACACGGAGCTACAAGGATTCGTGGCCGCGGGTTCCAGCGTGAAATCTTCACGGACGACCTCGAGAAAGTTGGTGTCCCAACCCACAGGCCCAAATTCTGAAGATTGCAAGCGTCGTCCTTTCAGGTTGTCGTTCGTTGGCAGTCCAACCTGATGTACGAAAGCACTCGGCTGGAGGCCTTCGCCATGCCTGGCCCTCTAAACCCCGTGCAAATACGATGCAGGACACATCGAGGTGTATGTCTCGCCATCGTCGCAATGCAGCACTGGCTTCAATCTAATCCGGGCTTGCTGGCTTGCCTGCGCTGTTAGTTTGTCACGCACGGCACTTTCAGCATCAATTGCATCGTTCGTGTGTTGGCAGCAGGTTGTGATGTGCAATGTGGGCTTGTTGCCCTCTTGAAACAGGAGTGAACTTTATCGCACGTGATGGACCCTGATCGAGGAAGCCAGCTAAAGACGATGCCAACGCCATGGCTTAAGTTCTTCAACTGAATGTCACTGAATGCCACAACAGTTCCTTGTGGCAGAGAGCAAACATGTTCTGGGGTTTTCCAAATTACCATGTGAACGTTGCCCAACTATTGCAGAAATAGATGCCTCTTTATCATCGTGGGCTTGCCGGCAGGACAAAATCATACAGTAGTCACACCCTTCAACATTAAATCGCACGGAAGCGCGCCTGGCAAGCACTCCCTTTGCAACTTCCACCTGACAAAAGTCAAGATTGTCACTTGTGGCTTTGTTGACCTCCTCCCACTGAAGAACCGCATAATAGAATGAGTACTGTGCTTCTTCTGGGACAAGCCCGCCCTGATGTCACGGCCACGAGAACTTTGCAAAGCAAGGCGCAGCTTAGCATCTTGTGCGGAAGCCCCAGCTGTGGGAGCTTGGGGGCCGGCTGCACCGGAAAAGCCGCCCTTGGCCGAAAGTGGCGAACAAAGGGCACGGTCTGAAGATTTCAGGTAAGGGTTAGGCCGCAGATGCTGGAAGACGGCACTGGTAGTAGTCGAAGCCTCACATTAAGCTCTCTGCTGGAAGCAGTGTTTTGATGTCTCAGCCTCCTGGTTGCCCTTTATGCAGTGCCCAGTCTTGTCCGCAGATATAGCCTGAGGCGAGCGAGGAAGAACACCATGTGCGGAATGCGCACTGGCGGCACAGGCAAGGAGCAAAAGTGGCGACCGCAAACACTGCAAATCCTCGGTGTGCAACGCACGGTTCTATCCTTCTTGCTCAGCCGGCTCAGCTCCCCCCCCGGCACCCGACCTCTCCTGTGTTTTTGTTTCGCCAGGACTATGGGCAAAGGGGAAGTTCTCTCCTGTGTCTCCCTCTCTCTGTCGTTTTCATAAGGGTGGAGGAACGAGGAGCTACCTCCTCCCCGCGCTCCAGGCGCCCCCCCCCCCCCATATGTTATGGGGTTGCGTCTCTGCAGCTTCTACGGCAGATTCGCCGGGAGTAGTACAGAGGCAGGTGTACTCTCTCTTTCTCAGTCTCTCTCTCGTGCTTGCTTGCTTGCTCTTTCTTTCTTTCGCCAGGGCTAGGGGCAGAGGGAAGATCCCCTGCCCTTTCTTCTTCGTGCCCTTCTTCCACACAGTCAAGGAGAAAGAGCAACGCTCCTCGCTGCGCGCGGGCGCGCCCTTTCTGTTCGAGTCTGTTCGAAACCTTCGAAAGATGAGGCCCCGTTTTGCAACTCTCTGTAACCTCCAAAACTAATGAACCCCCAGGCTTCATCCCGTCTGCTGCAAAGGCGGCTACCGGAACTCGAGCGCAAACTCGCCCTGTGTTGCCAGGTCACAACTCTTCGGCTCTGTGCTGTTCCCCCGAGCAAGCGAGACAAAACAACTTTATTATGAGGTTACATGCTGTTGACTGCACTGGCCGTTTCCGTGCTGCACTGCTCGAAGACAACGCATCGAAGAAGCGCTCTGGTGCAACATCTGCAACTGAGGCCCCGACCGCACTGCAACGCACACGCGCCCCCCACACACACACACACACACACTTTTACTTACTTACACTTAGGCATCCATCGCGCAGCCA